TAGAGATTTTAATTTTCTTAAAGGACTTTATGTGGATTTACTTCTTCATACCCCTTTTCAGACAATTTAAATTAATCAATGTAATTTCTCTGGTTGTATATACTGACAAGTCTATCTGGTGGAGGGTTTGTTTCTATCTATGTTCAGGTGAATTTAGTCAATTTGGAAATTGGTGTTTGCTTTGGTTGATGTTGACTAGTTTGTTTGGTTTTGTTAAAGATAGGCTCTGTATGCAACTTGAAGCTCCGTCTCTCTGGTTCTTTTTCCTGAAAAGAGATCACTCAGGACAAACTCTTTAAATAATATTTTTAATTACTTATATGTATTAAATAACCAGGAGACATGACAACAGATTCTGATAGAAAATGTAATCTTACTCAGATCAGAGAAGTTGCTTAGAGTTACAGAAGGCAGCTGCTCACCTCTGGGCTCACCTCTCAGGAAGTGGCCCCTATTATCAGTTAAAAAGGCATTTTATAAACCCCCAGTCTGCCACATCATCACATTTTACATCAGACACGTTAGCAGATGATTAGACATCCATGGCTCCAGCATTATCAGAATATTAAACTTTGTTCTTAGTTAAAGTACACCACTCTCATTTCATTCCCAAATCTTTTCCTAATATATTTTTCTAATATTAAAGTGTAATAAACTCACACATCATCAATGATAATTATTCTAAAAGTTAGTTGATTCATTTATTCTTGTTTGTCAAATTGTCTCTTTAAAATTGCCTGAAATAATTTCCTATTTATTCATTCATACGTGGGAACTTTGGGTTAAATTAGGTGATCTCTATGCATCTAAAACATTGTAACAATATTTGGAGAAAATGTGATTGAATTTTAATTATTTTTTTTTTCTACATCCTTAAAAAACAAAAAAACAAACAAAAAAAACTCAATGCATAAATATTCACACTTTGAGATTGTGATGTATTTTATGGAAGAGGATTAGGGCCACTGAAAAAATAAAAAAAAGTTTAAATGTTATTTCAGTTTAATATAGTAAAAAAATCAAAATTCTGACATTAATCTGACTTATTTTCACACAATTCATACTTTAATCTCAGAATTTTGGATCTTAATGTAGATGGGCACCATGAAGGCAGAGATGTGGGAGCATTCAGCTTCACTGACAAAAATGTGAGTTGTTTGGGAGGGCCAGTAACACGTTGGTGGAAAATTAAGGAATTAGGCAAGTTTTTACATGCCTGAGGGGTCCCCGGTGATGCTATTTCATTAATGGAAGAGCAGAAGGTGATTAAAACAAGAGAAAGTTTAGTCTCTAAAACAGACATGGCTATGGCTTGATAATAACATGTTTGTTAGCTGTCAGAATTAAGTCAGAAGTCTGAAAAAAGTCAGAATTCTGTGGGAAAAAAAGTCTGAATTCTAAGATTAAAGTCAGAATTCTGAGATTAAAGTAAGAATTCGGAGAAAAAAATTGTCAGAATTCTTATCAAACTATAAATTATAAAAATTACAAATTATAAAAATCAGTTAACCTTTTATATATTTTCAGTGGCCCTAATCTTCTTCCGTAGTTTTTAGATTTATAAATGCAGTAATTTAGTTTCACAGCAAACAGTGAAAGTGAGAAAGAGAGCGAGAGAGAGATAGAGAGATAGGGGGAGGGATGGAGGGATGGGAGGAGACAGATTATGGAAATCAAAGTAAATAGATGCAACAGAAAATGGAGAGAGGGTAAATAAAACGGACTCCGGGTCTGAAAGCAGCCGCTGATGAAACTCTCCAGAGTGCGAGCAGCAGCAGCTCCTCCTACTGGTTTTTAACCACCCATCCGCGCTTCCTCCTCTCCATGCCGGCGGAGGTCTCCGCGGGGCGGCCATGGCGAAGATCCGGGTGTCGTACGAGTACTCCGAGGCTGAGGACAAGAGCATCCGGCTGGGTTTGTTCCTGATCGCCTGCGGGATCCTCAGCCTCTTCATCCTGGGCTTCTGCTGGCTCAGCCCGACGCTGCAGAGCCTGCAGAGCAAACCGGCCAACTGCACGGTGAGACACATGCAACCACTTTTAGGATTTCTGTTTCATTTACAAGCTTTCAATAAACTTTATCAGTAGATGTCATAGTGCACTTTTTAAGAAAACATATCTGTGACTTTTGGAGAAAGTAATAGAACAAGTGTTTATACTCTGATTCTGGGTGTTTAAAAAGGTATTTGCAGATCTTTTGCAGCAGGTGGCTTTTTGCATTCATTTCAGCTGCTTGGTGAATAAACCTTAACTGCATGAATCATAAAATCTTTAAGGAGAACTTTGTATGTTGGTGTAACATTAGTTCTTCAGGCTGTATTACTGAGGGAACTTCACTGTATTTACTGCAACAGTTTAATGTTTATTTACATTCTCCTTGCACCAGTTTGGACCGCTCTTTTCTTTCAGGACTTCTTTTGTGCTTTGTGGAGAATGTTTTAACAAGGTGTTGGAAACGTTCCTCTGAGGTTTTTGCTCCACATCGATGTGGCAGCATCTGTCCAGACATACAAACATGAAGTGAATCTCTTTGCATAAAGTCCCTCTGGTGACTTTGAAGGCTTACGGATTAAGTCATGTCGATCCATCCATTTTCCATCCGCTTATCCAAAGCAGGGTGGCGAGGGGTGCTGGTGCCTTTCTCCTGCTGTCTATGGCGAGAGGCGGGGTCCACCCTGGACAGGTCATCAGTCCGTCACAGGGCAACACAGAGACAAACAACCATTTACACACACCTAAGGAGAATTTAAAGATGTCAATTACCCTAACAATCTTGTTTTTGGAGTACCCAGAGTACCCAGAGAGAACCTATGCTACTCAGGGAGAACATGCAGAAAGAGCCAGGCCAGGAATCCAACCTGGATATTCTTGCTGCAAGGCGGCAGTGCTACCCACTGCTCCACTGAGCAGACCCTAAACTCATGTTTAAAAAAACAAAAAACATATTTGGAGATACATAATGACATGGTGCATTATCTTGTACATTTAGAGCTGCTATTTAGCAGGTTTTAGCTGCACTGGTTCTCCCAACATGGATCAAACAGCTGAATCCCTTCATCAGCATCATTCAGCTCTGCAGAGCCTGTTTGATTCTGGTGTGTTTGGGAAGTGGTGCGTCCAAAAGCTGGGCCCACACCATTATACCACCACCAGCAGCCCAAATTATTCTGTAGCTACCAATGTCACAGAGACCCATTGAAATTTTAGCTGCTCTCATATTGTCCATTTCTTGTTCAGCCTGTCTGAACAGCAGCCCCAGTTTCCTGTTTTAGATCACACGTTTGGAGCTCTGCATGCTTATCCTCCTGCTGTGGCGCATCTCAGACCACTCTGCCCGTTTTCATCTGATCTCTTCACACCAACGAAAGGATCTGATCCATTCCAGTCGCTCTGTGATGACCAGCAACATGTTAACATGGATCCCAACCCATACCTGAATCCCAAATGAATGCTGTGGTGATCAGATGTTGCAGAGTAAAGTGATGGTGATAAGTGTGACGGGATTAATCTGATCCGACAGGATCTCTAACACTGAGCTGTGGGCTATCGTCCAGGGAAGCTCAGACTACAGCTGGAGTCACACTGAGCGCCTGGTTTAAAGTTCTTTAATTAGATTCATTAACTTCATTTTAGTTTTTTTTTTTTGCTTTTTCACTCAAATCAATTATTTTTTTTCCAATAATCAGGCCCAATTACATATGATTCAGCTCAATTCTAACGATGTTACAGTACAATCAACCTCTGTTGGTGATATAATAGCAGTCTGTAAACGGGACTGCAGCCACAGAAGCCCTGATTGTGTCGAATCATCGACTTCAGCTGTGGCACAGTGGGAGGACGAGTTACCTTACAATCTGGAGGTCGAGGGTCAAGTGAAACTAGAATCATGCTCTAAGAATCCAGTTTCTTTAACATTTAAAACTGACAATTTAACCATTTACAAGGAGATTGAATTTTTCCGGTTCTTAGTGAGTCACTTTAAACTGCGCACTGCATGCAATCAGGTTATGTATCTTGACAAATAAATGCATGTTGCTCAAACATTTCTGGAAGGGTTTAGCCTGTTATTGTACATTGAGACACTATTGTTCACTTTTCCGTTGTGTCTTCTCTTCCAGAGTTGTCCAGTAGGTGCTTAGGTGCTGTACTTAAGTAGCTTTTTTCTGTATTGGTACCTGAGTATTTACTTTTATTCTACATTTAAACAAAAATATCTGTACTTCCTATTCCTTACTTCGGTCTGAAAAACTCACANCGCATTTGAGTAGAAATATACGTCTCCTCCTGTTGGAATTATCTAAATTGATGCATTAAAAAAATTTAATACTGTTGCAAATATTCATGAGATTTATACTGGGGCACAGCTCATTTATACTGGGGCACGTGCCCCAGTAAATAGGGTCTGGCGACGCCGATGGCCTGAGGGGTCCCCGGTGATGCTATTTCATTAATGGAAGAGCAGAAGGTGATTAAAACAAGAGAAAGTTTAGTCTCTAAAACAGACATGGCTATGGCTTGATAATAACATGTTTGTTAGCTGTCAGAATTAAGTCAGAAGTCTGAAAAAAGTCAGAATTCTGTGGGAAAAAAAGTCTGAATTCTAAGATTAAAGTCAGAATTCTGAGATTAAAGTAAGAATTCGGAGAAAAAAATTGTCAGAATTCTTATCAAACTATAAATTATAAAAATTACAAATTATAAAAATCAGTTAACCTTTTATATATTTTCAGTGGCCCTAATCTTCTTCCGTAGTTTTTAGATTTATAAATGCAGTAATTTAGTTTCACAGCAAACAGTGAAAGTGAGAAAGAGAGCGAGAGAGAGATAGAGAGATAGGGGGAGGGATGGAGGGATGGGAGGAGACAGATTATGGAAATCAAAGTAAATAGATGCAACAGAAAATGGAGAGAGGGTAAATAAAACGGACTCCGGGTCTGAAAGCAGCCGCTGATGAAACTCTCCAGAGTGCGAGCAGCAGCAGCTCCTCCTACTGGTTTTTAACCACCCATCCGCGCTTCCTCCTCTCCATGCCGGCGGAGGTCTCCGCGGGGCGGCCATGGCGAAGATCCGGGTGTCGTACGAGTACTCCGAGGCTGAGGACAAGAGCATCCGGCTGGGTTTGTTCCTGATCGCCTGCGGGATCCTCAGCCTCTTCATCCTGGGCTTCTGCTGGCTCAGCCCGACGCTGCAGAGCCTGCAGAGCAAACCGGCCAACTGCACGGTGAGACACATGCAACCACTTTTAGGATTTCTGTTTCATTTACAAGCTTTCAATAAACTTTATCAGTAGATGTCATAGTGCACTTTTTAAGAAAACATATCTGTGACTTTTGGAGAAAGTAATAGAACAAGTGTTTATACTCTGATTCTGGGTGTTTAAAAAGGTATTTGCAGATCTTTTGCAGCAGGTGGCTTTTTGCATTCATTTCAGCTGCTTGGTGAATAAACCTTAACTGCATGAATCATAAAATCTTTAAGGAGAACTTTGTATGTTGGTGTAACATTAGTTCTTCAGGCTGTATTACTGAGGGAACTTCACTGTATTTACTGCAACAGTTTAATGTTTATTTACATTCTCCTTGCACCAGTTTGGACCGCTCTTTTCTTTCAGGACTTCTTTTGTGCTTTGTGGAGAATGTTTTAGCAAGGTGTTGGAAACGTTCCTCTGAGGTTTTTGCTCCACATCGATGTGGCAGCATCTGTCCAGACATACAAACATGAAGTGAATCTCTTTGCATAAAGTCCCTCTGGTGACTTTGAAGGCTTACGGATTAAGTCATGTCGATCCATCCATTTTCCATCCGCTTATCCAAAGCAGGGTGGCGAGGGGTGCTGGTGCCTTTCTCCTGCTGTCTATGGCGAGAGGCGGGGTCCACCCTGGACAGGTCATCAGTCCGTCACAGGGCAACACAGAGACAAACAACCATTTACACACACCTAAGGAGAATTTAAAGATGTCAATTACCCTAACAATCTTGTTTTTGGAGTACCCAGAGTACCCAGAGAGAACCTATGCTACTCAGGGAGAACATGCAGAAAGAGCCAGGCCAGGAATCCAACCTGGATATTCTTGCTGCAAGGCGGCAGTGCTACCCACTGCTCCACTGAGCAGACCCTAAACTCATGTTTAAAAAAACAAAAAACATATTTGGAGATACATAATGACATGGTGCATTATCTTGTACATTTAGAGCTGCTATTCAGCAGGTTTTAGCTGGTTCTCTCAACATGGATCAAACAGCTGAATCCCTTCATCAGCATCATTCAGCTCTGCAGAGCCTGTTAGATTCTGGTGTGTTTGGGAAGTGGTGCGTCCAAAAGCTGGGCCCACACCATTATACCACCACCAGCAGCCCAAATTATTCTGTAGCTACCAATGTCACAGAGACCCATTGAAATTTTAGCTGCTCTCATATTGTCCATTTCTTGTTCAGCCTGTCTGAACAGCAGCCCCAGTTTCCTGTTTTAGATCACACGTTTGGAGCTCTGCATGCTTATCCTCCTGCTGTGGCGCATCTCAGACCACTCTGCCCGTTTTCATCTGATCTCTTCACACCAACGAAAGGATCTGATCCATTCCAGTCGCTCTGTGATGACCAGCAACATGTTAACATGGATCCCAACCCATACCTGAATCCCAAATGAATGCTGTGGTGATCAGATGTTGCAGAGTAAAGTGATGGTGATAAGTGTGACGGGATTAATCTGATCCGACAGGATCTCTAACACTGAGCTGTGGGCTATCGTCCAGGGAAGCTCAGACTACAGCTGGAGTCACACTGAGCGCCTGGTTTAAAGTTCTTTAATTAGATTCATTAACTTCATTTTAGTTTTTTTTTTTTGCTTTTTCACTCAAATCAATTATTTTTTTTCCAATAATCAGGCCCAATTACATATGATTCAGCTCAATTCTAACGATGTTACAGTACAATCAACCTCTGTTGGTGATATAATAGCAGTCTGTAAACGGGACTGCAGCCACAGAAGCCCTGATTGTGTCGAATCATCGACTTCAGCTGTGGCACAGTGGGAGGACGAGTTACCTTACAATCTGGAGGTCGAGGGTCAAGTGAAACTAGAATCATGCTCTAAGAATCCAGTTTCTTTAACATTTAAAACTGACAATTTAACCATTTACAAGGAGATTGAATTTTTCCGGTTCTTAGTGAGTCACTTTAAACTGCGCACTGCATGCAATCAGGTTATGTATCTTGACAAATAAATGCATGTTGCTCAAACATTTCTGGAAGGGTTTAGCCTGTTATTGTACATTGAGACACTATTGTTCACTTTTCCGTTGTGTCTTCTCTTCCAGAGTTGTCCAGTAACTTAGGTGCTGTACTTAAGTAGCTTTTTTCTGTATTGGTACCTGAGTATTTACTTTTATTCTACATTTAAACACAAATATCTGTACTTCCTATTCCTTACTTCGGTCTGAAAAACTCACATGAAGAGAAAAGACAATTAGAAGAAATTCGGCAGGAAACATAGCATTTAATTTTGATAGATATGCATGAACAGGAGCAAAGAATAGGGCTGTTTCCCCCCAGGCCTGAAACTGGTGGTGGAGTGGAGATGAAGTTGGTCAGTCTGTAGACTGCTGGTTAGTGAGACGGTCTGCTGAGCTTTATGGGGAGATCCAGTGGACTGGAGATGATACTAGAGCTTCACTCAGGGACCTGGAAGATGGAAGTCTAGCTTGGATAACACAGGTTGAAAGAACCTGTCCATGATGAGCAAGCATGAAGCGACAGTGGAGAGGAAAAACTCCCCATTGGGAAGAAACCTCTGGCAGAGCCAGGTTCAAAATGGCGGTCTTCTGCCGGAATGGTTGAAATGAGACGCGGAATGCAGGAAGAATGACACACTCATGAAGTTTTAGCTACGATGGTGAAGGAGGGGCTGGAGGTGGGTTAAACAGGGTCATCTGAATGAAGTCACACAGTGCATCCACTGCCTGCGCACTAGATAGTAGAAGAGTTACGGAACGGAGGCCTTTTATTTATTTTTTTGCTTTTTTTTTTTCTTTTTTTTTTGTTTTTGTTTTACAGTCTCCTGTCTGGCAATGTGGCAATAACAATAATTGCTTGATGCCAAAAAGAGCCCAACAGATTTTACTTTCACAAGTGCAGCAGTACGGCTATTGCCATAGTGTTCCGCCTGATTTATGCATATAAATAGCTTTATTATAATTATGCAGGGAGTTTTACAGATTATATAGACAATGCAATGTAAGTAGAACAGGAAAGGAAAAACAGGAAAAAGGAGAAAAGATGAAAGAAAGAGGAGATAAAAGGGAGATAACGATAAAACATCTTCAGTCTGCTTCAGCACCTGCAAAGAGATGTAAAAAGAAAAGCACAACCAACAGACATGGTACGAGACATACAATAAAGTAACACCTAGATACTATCGCTAAAGTATAAGTAGTATTATTTAATCTGACATGTATTCTGTGTTACCTGAAGATAAGAATATGGGCTTTCTGTATTGAAGTGGATCAGAGGCGTTTTAAATTAATTTTGGATGCTGATTGGCTTACATGGAGGGCTGGTTCAAAGCTGATTGGCTGTGTCACAGGTGGATGTAGGAGAGCAATCAGTTTCTTCAGTTGAACTTCTGCCTAGGCTCCATTTTTATCCAAATGGGCCTCTTACTTCTATACCTGTTAATAATAATAAAGTGTTACAGCTACAACAAAAAAGGGAAAATGTTGGCAGGGGAGTGGTGGCCTAGTTGTTTGGGCAAAGAGCTTGGAATCCTGAGGTTGTAAGTTCAAAACCCACTCGCACAGACTGGACGTCTGTGTCTTCAGCAGGCGTAGAGCTAACAGAACTGGCAGCGTTGCGAGGCAAGGGCTCAAACATGTACGGCTGGAAGCCTTCTACACCAAACCAAGCTTCTGCCGCCCTGGCGTCCTCTTCCACAACATCTTCATCCCGCTTTCCTCCTCTAAAAAAAAACGTATGACGGAGGAGACTCATCCACAACCTCTGACACTAAACTCTCCTCCTCTTGCATGTTTCCTCTGTCCATAGCGTTCCTTGACAGTGTTGTTTCTAAGTCACCAGTTTAGTGCTACTTGTTCCCAATGGAATTTCCCATTGGGAACCTACTAGCACTAAGTTGCTAACTGGTTAGCAAGATGCTTCCAAGAAACCGGCCACAATCAAACTGGCTTGCGAACCTTCCGCCACAACAATCCCGCCCCCTTGATAATCGACCAATCACATTCACTTTATCTACTCGTGTAAAGTCAGGCACCACTCAGGAGAAACATGGCAGTTCCAACCTCTAAGATAAATTTTTGCTTTTACTTTAACCACTCTTTTTTTATATGCACTTTTCCATCAGTAAATAATGTGATTTAGTCCTCTGTTTACTGCTAAGATTTCAAACCATTATGTTTGCATCCTTTAGATAAGTAATGCACACAAACTTTATTAGATAATTCATGTTAGAAGCCACCAAGTTAATTTGCTCTTTTTTGACTGATCTTCAGCTGTGCTGGTGTTTCCTGAAAATTACACACCTGGAAAAAGTTGTTGGTTCACTTCATTTAATGAAAGAAAAAACCACAATAATCACAGAAATACCTTTAATCTGACAAAACATATAAATAACAATGAACAAATGAAGGTCAGGCATTCAACAGAATTATTTAAAAAATAAACTCATGAAAGTTCAAGTTAAAATCGGAATAAATCATGTTTAATGTCCATTGATTTCATCAAACTGAAAATCAGTCAATGCACAGCTCTGTGTTGGAAAAATAAACAGATTTTCCAATTCTGAATAGATTCTCATTTTAATTTCTAAAGATTTGTTGACAGAATCTCTACCTGAATCTTGTGATTCAGGTGACACCTATAAAAATATTTTAAATATCAGCCATCCGATTTTAGATTGAACTAAATCGAAAAGAATCGTTTCTAAATTTTAAGTCTGAATTGAATCAACTTTTTTCAGTCGATACGCAGCCCTATTCTGAATTTAACTCCAGACATCTTTGCTTAAAGTCGTTTTATTAACTATAATAAAAATAATTGGAATGTCAGGCAATCGTATGAGTAAATGTTCATATTGCATTATATACTTTTACAGTTTGCTTTAAATCCCTGAAAATACAGTCAGATCTCCCACCATGTCTTAATCTTGATCTATTTCTGTATTGGTTTCCATAGAAACGTTAATTGCTGCAGGTTTTGCTTACAATGATTTACAGGTCTTTTAATCTAATCACATTTCTGGCAGAGTGTACTTTTGAGTTAACATGTGGCCATATTTTGGACTAGGGTCAAAGATGCACTCCAGTGTTTGCTGCCTGCTTTTGCGTTCGGTCGCATGCATCTGCTGTTGAGACGGTTTCTCTGCAGACTTCCAATTTGGCAGCAGTAACTCAAACAAACTGAGGAAAGTGATTAAAGGGGGCCAATTCTTTTTGGGAAAGCTGTTCCAGAGTCCAGAGATCTACTCTAAACAGAGAAATGATGCTCAAGCTGGCGAGCAAAATAGAGACACATCAGTACCAGTATGAGCGTGTGATTGTTTTTAAGTCATAAAAGCTTCGTTTTCATCCATTAATTATAACTGTGCTCTAAATAGTTACTGGACTGGGACTGAAGCAGTTAATTTGATTTATCATAGTTAATCAAGCTACTAAAACGATCAACTAATAAAGTGGTCAAATAATTGTTAGCTGGAGTTTACAGACAATAAAACATTTACTAAATAAACAATCCTCTTAAGAAAGATACTAAGCAAAAGGTGCATAATAAATGCACATTTTGTTATTCTTTATAACAGTTAATGTGCAAGATCTATAATAAAAAGAATAGAGACAAATTAAAGCAAGCAATGTAGAAACAAAAATAGTCCAAAAAATGCTCCACCTGGAAATAAGTAAGTCTCACTTGAAGTCAAGCTCTGAACACTTTTTGTAGTACTTAAATTAAAGATTCTATGTAGACCTAATCTTTGATGTCTTAAAACTTGGGTAATTTAAACTTTAGGGACTGCTAAAAAAGCCACTGAGCATTAAAGTTTGATGATTGAGATGCTGTTTGCTCACCTGGAGACCATCTCACCCATCAGTTTTGAAAGAATAAATATTCTACAAAAGTTGCACAGTCCACCCTAAAACATTTTTTTTCTAATTTAGTTATTTTTATCTTTTTGGTTGTCAATAAAAATTGGATTAGTCCGGCTTCAGAGATACTGTGGCATTTCAAAGCCTCTGGGAATATATGCATGAAATAAATTACAGGCTTCTATACGCCATTTGCGACGGATGATGGATTTCTTCCAAGCTGATTTATTTGACTGTTAGCTTATTGCATCATTTTAGAGGGTTATTTTTTTCCCTCTAAATTTTGCAATCCCTGGTCATGTGGGACAGAAAGCTGGTCCAGTCTGCCGTTAACGAATCTGTGGCTTAATAAGGCATAAATCAAAATACTTGAGTTTAATGCAGCTGCCTGGCCTCTTGAGTGAAGACCGTCTGACTTTTATTAAATCAGATTAGATTGATGGTGTCGTCTCCCATGTGTTGTTTATTCATCCGTCTCATCGTACCAGACCAGTAATGAGAGGTCATCACTCCTTTACTATTACTGACATACAGATGATTCAGGAATCATCTCCTTAATAGTCCAGTTCACACGTTTTTTATACATTTAGACATTGGTTTCTATGGGGTGCTGATGAGCAATTGGTTTCTATCTTTCTTGGTTACCATGACAAAATGTGATTCTCCTTTTTAAAGAAAAGAAAAAATGTCTTTGAGTTTGGTGTTGGTCTTATTGGCTGTCCAGTATTGATTGATGGATACATACTACAGAGGGTAAATGTCAGCAGTAACAAAAGACATAAATATGGAACCGGCTCTGACAAGACAGATTAATGTTTGTGCAAAAGGTCCCTAAATGAGGCTCCCCTGGCGACCAGAACAGGGTTATTTTACAAACTGATGTTGCTTTCTGGGTGTTCAGGGTCCTTAAAAAAAAGTAAAAAAAAAAAAGGATTAAAAAGTTTGTTATGGGAAGGAACAAACTATTTAGTGGGGAAATGACGACCTAGTGGTTGGGGCATTGCACTTCGATCCCAGAGGTTCTGAGTTCAAGCCCCACTCCCACGGACTGCCACTCTAGGTCTCTGAGCAAGACCCTTAACCCCACACTGCTCCCCAGGCACCGCACAATGGCAGCCCACTGCTCCCCAAGAGGATGGCTTAAATGCAGAGAGGGAATTTTGTGGCTTTGTAGTTTGGACAAGGAACTGACAATAAAGTTGAATTCTATTCTAACCATAAAAGTTTATGGGGAATTACCTTGTGTGTTCTTGAAACAAAATTCTGTAGGTTCCAGTAAATTAAGTTGTAAGCTCTGGGTAAGAAGTCTTCAAGTTTCACTAAGTTAACTTGTAAGATATTATGAAGAAGAACCTTCCTGAACTTCCAGAGAATTAACTTGTAAGTTCTTGAAAATTACACTGTAAGTTTCGATAAAGAACGTTGGAGGTTCTAACTTGTAATTTCTTTGAAAGAACTTGTAGGTTTTGATAAAGAACCTTGTAAGTCCAAAGAATTCCCTTTCAAGTTCAGTTTAAGAACCTTGGAGGTTCCAGAATATTGACTTGTAGGCTCTAAAAATGACCCTGTAAGTTCTAGAACATTAACTGTTAAGTTCTGCCAAAGTTTTTTAGAAGCTCCTGAGAATTAACTTGTAAGTTATGGGAAATAAGCCCTGAAGTTTCAGTAAATTAACCTGCAAGGTCTGCTAATGAGTCCTGTAAGGCCCAAAATATTAACTTGAAAGTTCTAATAAGGTACCTTGGAAGATCTGGAGAATAACTGGTTAGTTTTGGGAACGATTCCTGGTAGCTCGAGATGATCAACTTGTATGTTCTGGTAATTAACCCTACAAATTAAAAAAATATATATTTCTAAGTTAATGAGAAAAAATTCTGCAAATTTTAGCAAATTAACTTTTAAGTTCTGGAAAGAACCTTCAATGTTCCACAGAATTGATGTGTAAGTTCTGGAACTTCAGATTTTAGTAAATTATATAGTTTCGTTCTGAGAAATAACCCTGAAGGTTTAGAGATTTAACTGGTAAGTTAAGGAGAGAACCCAGTAAGGTTCAATAAACTAGTGGCACAAACGAACAAAAATAAAAACTGTTGCTTTGTATTTGGGTTAGGAGTTGGACTGTTGGTCCTTCTGCTCATCGTCTGTCGTCCTTTTCAGGTGGTGTCTGTGTTGCGTCCCGAGGAGATGTTTGAGTGTGTTTTTACATGCGGCACCGACTGTAAGGGGACCTCGCTCTATCCCTGCCTGCAGATCTTTGTCAACAACTCTGAGTCCAACTCAGTGGCGCTGCTCCACTTCGACGAACAGCAGCTGGTCCTCAACCCAAAGGTAAACAACCGCTTTACTGTTTCGCTGTGATTGGATATCAGCATTGGGGTAGTTAATACAGCAGAAAGATGAAGTTTTCTTAAATGTAGAGATTTCTCATTTACGACTACAATAAGGTGAATCTTAGTGCCTCAGAATCAAATATTGAAATCCTTCTGTTCATACAGTTTATTAGACCTTTATTTAACCAGCTAAATTCACTTTAGTGTTTTAAAGGAAAAGTTCGGTCATATTCAGAATTCAAACTTCTGAAAGTACTTTAAATATGAAATTATTAAATACTGTTCAATAAATGATCATAAATCATCCCTGAGGCAGTAGATACATACATGTGAATGTCCCATACAATAAAGAAATGTAACATCTATATCTGTATTACATGATTCAAATGTATAAACACCATTCAATTACAAGTACAACTAAACAAACATTCTATCAAATAAATTAAGAAAATCATTTCAAATTATGATTAGAAAAGTTAAATATGAACTGAAAAAAATAAGAGAAAAATAATTATACTTATTTCTCAAGATTTTCTCAGATTTTTGTGTTGTTTTTTGGGGTCAGGCTGAAATATTTGAATAAGCTAGCTTAGCGTTAGCCATCA